CTACCTAACTGAGAGGCCTCTGAAGAAGGAGAGAGAGATGTTAGTAAGCATTTGAAATGCTTACTAAACACACTGATTGACAGCACCGGAAAGTCTACAAGAGTTCACAGATTATAAGAGTGGTAATTAATCATAATACCAGTATAATCAGGTGGATGATCCGTTTGCAGTTTGGAGAAAACCCCTGCACATCTCAGTTTTGTGAATCTGTGGTCATAGCTATTGCATCGATGTAGTGCGTCTGTTTTCCAGAGCCCGGCAAAAGCCATACTGCACAAAACATTCATTTTTGCATAGTCTCCACAACTCGGTGCTGGGTAACTCTGTCTCTCCTCAGTTGCCCAGTAACTGAATGTAGAAACCTCAGTAATAATGATCTTTGCATAACCTACATGGTCTGTTTTCTGTGGGGCAAATAACCTTCTTATTCTATAATTCTAGGATTAGTTTATAGTTAATTTATTTGCGTGCGTATTGATGTGCGTGTATATGGTCATGTGTGGGAGAATTACTGAGGAAAGCTCAGCTTAGAAAATGGGCTTTACTTTTTGTTTTGGCAGTAAGATGGTCTCTATTCTTGGTGGGGAAGTGAGTTTCAGGATTTGGCTCTATGACCTGTGGAAGTTAGTCTTTGCATGCTCGAGTCCTTTTGAGTGTGAGCTGCTGGTGGGATGCAGTTACAAAATGTGGTGGAGCGGGAGTCGGTCTCCTCAGAATTAGTGCAGCGGGAAGCTTGCCAGCGCAACGGCCTGAGATGCAGCCCTGTCCCAAAGCTCCGCAGCTGCAGCCCTCGCTGGCCTGTTGTGGACAAGATGCCCAAATGCTCAGCATTGCTTCCCGAATGCCGGGGACGTAGAGGAACATTCGCAGCAGGGAATGCTTGGATGATTTGTAGGCAGATACATGCCCATCCAAATGATTTCCAAAAACGTTTTGACTAGCATAAAAATTGGTATGAATCAAGACTGTTCCCTGGCAATTCTTGAACTGGAAAAGGATACAATTTACCGGATGAATGATTTGCTGTGAATGGTTTGTTCATCTCTACTCTAGTGTTTTCTAAGCAATTGCTTATTATGGCAAATTACCAGGTAACAGATTTACTTGGGCTGTGGCTTGAAACAAAGATCTGTCTTCCTTCGCTGTGGATCCAGCCTGCTTGAGCTGAGTGACAGCTAGTGCCCCTGAGCTTGTCTGGAAATGAATACTCTCAGATATAAGCAATCTGCGATTAAAACATTGTACACTCGGTCTCATTCAGCTGTTTTCTTTTAATTTTTGAAATTGAATACCATCTTTTGCTAGCAGTGACTACAGTGCCGAGTGGGCTCCACGGAGTCGCTCTGCCAGTGGCCTGCCTAGCACGCTGTGACAGATCGGGCAGGCCGAGCAGCCTATGTGCGTAACAATAGACCTGGTAGTTACTCACTGGAAAAAATGGCCAGAAAAGGACTATAAAAGATTATTACCGTTCAGGAAGCTTTCTCTGGGGAGGTTTGTTCTACCTGTTTTTGTCGTGGGGAATGGTTAGCCCGTTCCAGGGAGAAAGCTGTGGGCTTTGCGGCGCGCATCGTTCACGTTCCTCAGGAGAGGCCTGCCTGGCGGGTGGGCAGACTCGTGTTCCGGCGCTGGGTGTGTGGTGGTGTGCGTCCCTCTCTGCCGGCAGCACGGCCTTGTGAAATTTAAGAATTGTGTTTTGGGTGCCGGGATGATGTGGGCCTTTTACATGTTTATCCCTTGAAGCAGGAGGTCACCGAGATACTAAAATAGGCGCTACAATTAATTTTCTCATGTTTAAGGAGAGATTCCCCCCCCCAGTGTCAGTACCTCCTCATAACAAACAGCCTATGCTTTGACTGTAAGAATAAAACTGTACTTGCTGATATGTATGCAGGTTGCTGCAATATTATGGAGATTTGCTTGTGCTGCTCAATTATGGAGGCAAAGCTTGTAACACAAATTTGCTTATATCGAGGCATGGTGTTTTCAGCCTTTTGCGGATATGACTTTGGAATCTACAGTTTGGAAAAGACAGGTGATCAACACTGATTCACAGAAAAATGACTGCTCCTTAGCGGGAAGCAGTGCTACTTACCTGATAACGTCTCACCAGGTTTTGTTGTATTGATGCTGTGCAAGGTGTTATTTCATGTTTAAAGGTGTTGGAATCCAACCCATTGTTACCAATTTAGAAGGACAGGATTTATCTAGGTATGACTTCTATGCTTTAGCACAGTAGCTTCATCAGTAAGACAAACCACCCTTCAAAGGGGCCTTTCCTACCCCCCTTATACACCCATCTCTAGCACCCTGTAGTAGCATCTCTTTCTTTCTTTCTTTCCTTTGACTAATAGGAGTCTGCTACCCTTTAAATGGCTAACTAAATGGCATCGAAATCAGGTGGGATTAATCTTACTGTAAGAACTGTTATCAACTTGTACTAATGTATGCATGCTAATGACACAGTATGAAATGCTTATAAAGAAATATGGTAGTAACCATTTTTTCAGATGACATGCTCCTCGTGTCGTGACTATTAGTCTAGTTTATGACAATACAGTAGAAAGAAGTTTAATTTCTCAATTTTATGACTAATGTTTTTAAGAATGCTGTATTTGTGAAAAAGTTTTATTTTGTTGAAGTTACTCTGTGTGTGGGGAAAGGTTAGGGTTTGTTTTAGGGCTTTTGATAAAAATCTGAATATACTTTGTTTTCATAAGACATTCCGATATGACACACAATACCTTTTTTTAATGAGTAGTCATATACGCTTTCGCGTGTCACAGAGGAGGTTTTGTTGTCAATACAGGAAAGCTGGTTACAGGAGTGGTTTCATTTGTCTGTTTAGCTGAACTCGGTGTCTCCAAATCCTGTGTAACTGATTGTAAGGGATAACAGCTATCGTTTCAGCTAAACAGGAGGGGGGAATGGAAGCAGGAGAGTAACTTTTCTCTGGTCATGTTGTAATGCAATTTGTTGTTTTTTTCCCCTTTATCAGTTCTTCAAACCTAATTAGTAGTTTTCTGGTTTGCAACTAGTATCAAAAATAAGGCAATTTGTTGTTCAGCTTCACGTGGGCTTATATTGTAAAGCAGACTTGTAAATGTATATGGACATATATATTTATAATAGTGAAAACATTCATGAGACTTAAGATGGTCTCAGCTGGTATGTTGGAAGAATCAGCAAATCAAATGTCTTCAAACCAGATCTGGTAAAATGTCAGTGCATTTAATTTTTTTTCTTGTTCTTAAACAGGAACATTTTTGTAAATATTCTTGCTTTTCTATGAGCCCAGTTGCAAAGGGTATAAAGAGGAGAATCTCAGCTTTTGTGAGGAACACAGCTTTCACACAATTTTTCAGATACCTGTCTTTTTGCATTATGTGATAGCCCGGCTTAATAAAAAGTCTTATACTAGTTCTTAATGTTAGTTTCTTTCCGTTTATGCCAAAATAGATAAACAGCACCTCATTCCTTTTCCTCAATAAAATCCCACTCCCCGCCTCCCCAATTTCTAATGAGATAGTGTAGCGAGCCACATAGCTTTCACAAATATTTGTTTCTTAAAGGCATCAGTTTTGACCGTAAGCAACAATGCTATTGCTAGCGAACCTCAAACCTCTTGGCAAGAGGTTGGCCTCAGTGTTGTTGCTGATTTCTAGCAAGGGCACGCAATATGGTGGCTACCAGGTGCCACGCTGATCACTCAGGCTTTGAACCTTTCCCTTTGTATTTCCTCCTTGCTTACTGTCATCCCAGAGAAGAGCTTTGTCAACAGATAAATGTTCTTCTATTATTGGTAAGAAGACAGGCAGATAAAGGAAAGCAACTTGACTTCTAACGTTGCTCCTCACTGCCCCAGAACAGCGCAAATATGGGATTGCACTCTCACCCTCGGGCTGGAGGCATGGGCAGCAGCCCGCTTTCAGATTCTCTCTTGTAAAGCCCAGATCAGGGAGTGAGCATAAACAAGGGAAATAAAATGGTGGAAGGAAAGGGAGTCGGAGAAAAAGAGACTGACAGGGAGAGAAGCCAGCAGCGCGAGATAAAAATTGGGCAAACAATTGTAAAGCTGGGACTGTCCCTGCCCACGGCAGGGGGGTTGGACTAGATGACCTTCAGAGGTTCCTTCCAGCCCAAACTATTCTATGATTCTGTGGTATGAGGCTTCAATGTTATGAATTCGCCAGTAAGCACCAATAAGGGGTCTACCAAGCAACGTTGAGAATAGAGATCACGCGCCTGAGACACTATTGGTCTTTCTCAGAAACAACCACCTTTTTTTCAGATTTTTACCATTTTCAATTGACCCATAGCCAGAACTGCAATTAAGCGTCAATATATTTTATAAAAAATAGTACTTAGTTTACTTTCACATAAGTGAAGAGATACAATTGCACAATGGTGGTTACAATGGTAGAAATACATACTGTCGATAAAATGTTTGCAAGAGATTTAAAAACATACTGTACAGCACCACATCTGAAGTTGGGTGATGGCAAAATGAATCATACTCCATGTTCAAGTAAATTAAATTCCTAAATCTTTCTTTTTGGAATAAATAAAAAAAAATACAATGTGCAATATGTGGCTGACACTACCAAAATACTTCCTGAAGTTGAGCAATAGATTAAAAACAAAAATGAGGTAAAAAAAGACATTCATGCATTTAAGCCACCATTAGTCTCTGACTCTAAAATAAGGCAGATCATAATCTTTTTAAAACTGTCTTTAGCCACTTAAATCCTCTTCAGTGCTTTTTAAGACATGGTCTCGACAGACCTTGTAGAATCATGAGTTAAGATGCTTTTATTTCCAACAGGTCATTTTTAACAGGCTCAGCCGTATTTGAAATGCATTATATGGTAGAAAATGTTGCTTTTTCGTTAATGAAAAAAGAAATGTAAATTAAAAGGAACTGAGAGAGGTGGATGCTTTAGCGTTTATCACAAATGACGCTGCTTTGAGGGAGGGAGGTGAGGGAACGGGAAAGAAAATTATGTGTCATCTTCAGTTTTAATGACATGGAAAAGGGTGACATTAAACAGGACTTGATGTCCGTTATTCCAGGCATAGAGAGCTCTATCTCTTGCATTGTAGTCAAGCATGGATATATGAAAGTACTGATTATGGAAAGGAATGTCTGTATACTCGTAAGTGGAGGTTTTTGTGGAATAAGAATAGTAGACCTTGGCTCCTGTTAAGTGAGAGTTAGTAACATACAAGGTGCCACAGATCATGAAGGATTCTCCAGCACTTCTCTTTGGGTAGCCCGTGCTCCAGCTCTTCAGCACCTCCAGCGTATCCTGGTTTAGCTGGCTGATGACAATGTTGCCTGCGTTCTGGTTGGTGGCATACACAGCCCATAGCCCAATTTCATCTGCCATCAGGTCAATATCAGAAAAGCCACCCCAGGTGTAAGGGTAGACATTGTGAAAGCCAGCGTACTCAAGGCTACGCTGTGCAAGCACCCGCCCAGTGTCAAAGCTGTATTTGATGATGATGTTGCTCTGATACTTGTTGAAATAGAGGGAGCCATTGTAGACAACGTGGTTGGTTCCTGCCCATTTGAATGGAAGGTTGTATGTCCTTGATTCAGCCCCACTGACAAAGTCTGCAATTGATTTATATTCACGGACAATTTTATTGTTAGTGTAACTATCCATGTACCAGACCTGGAAAGAAAACAAAGATTGGGAGTAAACACCTGGAACACAATCTGTGGTGCTACACGATCATGATATGGCATGATGGATACATTGCAGAAAAAGAAGGAAAAAAGGTTTTAGGTCTGCAGCAGGCTATCGAAGTACAATATTGTCCACATTCCTGTTAAAAAAGCATGAGGAACTCTGGAGTTTCGGAATCAAAACTTACCTATACAGGTGAACTCTCAAGAAGACTGTTACTAACTACAGTGTCTGCATTTTCAGAGAAATTTATTTTTGGATTATTCAGTGTTTGGGTTTCTGCTGTATGGGGCTTGCTTAAAGATATTCCCAGAGACCAATAATCAAAGAGAGAGATGGGAAATGGCACGTGAGCTAAGCTTGGATTTATGATTAGGAATAAATTTCATTGAATTGTCTTCAGCTGAACCTCTAATTGGTGAAAATAGTGTATTCTTAGTAAAGAAACCAAAATACAATAGCAATGAAACTAGTAAAGTTTAGGAACCATTTTTTTTTCCTTTAAAACAAAAGAAAACAAAATCAATACTTTTTTTTTAATGTTCTGTATGCCAACTTCCATTCCCCCATTTTTTCCTTCATGCATTTTGCCTTTTCTCCTTTTAGTTTGTCAGAGGACAAACCAAATCCTGGCTAACGAACAGAATAATTTCTGGAGATATTCTTTGTAATGATTTCACAACCGGCATTAACAGAATATTTGTATAAATGCCAGTTCAGCTCCCCATCGTCCTGTTAGTTGGGACGCTGTGAGGGATATGGTTTGTTCTGATTTGCATGCACACGGGTAGTCTTTGTGTTGCTTTAAGAGGGTGGCAGTGGGGGGGAACGTGGAGGCTGTCTGGGGAGGGGGCTGCAGGGCGTGCAGGGAGGGG